GTCAGTGGTGCGGCCACTTGGAAGACGGCCCGCCGGCTCCTCACCTATTAGACTTGGAGCCGCCGTGTGACCCACTGATCCACTCCTGGCTTGTACCCGCGAGGACTGGAAACATGTTCACACAGAAATGTGCACACACGTGTTCGTAGAGGCACTGTTCACAAAGCCAAAAAATGGAAATTCTCTTCTTGAAGTAGAAGGCTGCAGAATTCCTCGGTGCCTCATTTCCTTTCCTTGGTGGCCGTGTAGGAGTCACTGGGGGGTAGAATTTGGTTTCAGGTTTGAACTAAGGTCCTCACTGAGGTATAGAAAGATTCTGTGTTCACAGCTGTCCAGCTGCCAACAGCCAAAAGGCTTCCCACAGCGCACGGTCCGTTCGAGTGAGCTCTCCCGGTGATCACCCCAATCTCGCTCTAAAGGGGTCTTTTCTGCCCTTTGATGGGCAGCTCTGAGGGCTCCTGGGCACCAGGGAGGCCTTTGTCCAGCAAGAGTGACTGCCCTCCTGGACAGCCCGTCGTCCTCAGCCGTGAGTACCACGAGGCTGTTAAATTGCTACTTAGTATTTCATAGAAACTGATGTAAGTTATTTATGGGAAATGACTGCAGCTTTCAGCGGCTGGTCTTGGTACAGTGTTTGTCCCGTGACAGAGGCCGCATTACACTCTGGAAGGAGCTGGGTCAGCAGTGCACGTAGTCCTTTGCGGATCTCGGTCTCTCTGCACTTTGCAAGACGTCCACCATAAGCAGACATCGTCGAACCGAGTGCAGAAGCTGCTGGAACCCGAGTTGTTACCGGGTAGGTGTTGTTCTCACAGATGCACTGGGTAAAGGCCCTGAGGTTAGGTGTCTCGTGCATGTGTATGTCCGTAGGAGAAAGCAGCAGCATGACGTCGGAGTTCTATCGAGAAAACGAGCCCCAGCCGCCGTGTGTCCAGGATGAGTGCTTCCTGGCCCTCACCGGCTCCGCGTGACCCGCACGTGTGGGACACGTAGCAGATGTCTCCATTGAATCTGCCGTGTGTCACATTGCCAGACTTTTCTGGACCCTTCCCAAATCCTCCAGAAGGCCCCAGTGAGTTTTGAAATTTGAAATTGTTTCCTGGGTTTGAGTCTCTAGATTCCCCGGGAGAAATCCCCTTGGGCGGAGGTGGGAGTCAGACCCGCCCTTTGGGCTGCGTGGTGGCCCTTGCTGGTGCGTTCACGGCTGTGCCGGGTGGCCTTGCAGAGTTCTCGGCGCTCGTGCAGGCTGTTTCCAAAGAGTAAGTGCGATGAAAAGGTCAGCCAGTAACTTAGGTAAATACAAAACCAAAACAGTGTGTGGGAAAAACTGCTCTGTTAAGGTAGGTGCTTGTCTTCCCAGATGAGTGAGCCTGGAAACTAGTGGTTCGCTGGTGGACGGACTCCTTTGCCTTGAATGTCACTGTTTTCAAATGGTGCCATCGTAGTGACCCCTAAAGCAGAGCTCTCGTGTGCCTTCTGGGCGCCCGATGGTATGGTGGGAGGAGGGGACAGTGACAGAATGCTTCCCGCTGGACAGGCGACCATGCCAGTCACTGCAGGCCATCTGCAGCCGGACCCACCGCCCACTCCCGTCTGTGTGACCACATGCTGCGAGGGGCTTGTGGAGCCGTTGGGGTTTCTAGCAATGCCTATTTTGAATTGGGAAATTTAATTTCTAGTGGATGTATTTGGAATAAAGATGTTTCTCAACGTACCTGTCATTTCCTCCTTCGGCATCGAGGGAGCACCTCCGGGGTCCGGGACTTGGGAGGCTTTGGGCCAAACGCTGGTGAGGCCCGGGGTGTAGACTGTGTGGCCTCGTCCCCCGACAGTGCCGGACAGTGCCATGGGAGCACCGCCCGTGGGCCAGACAGGACAGACCTGTGCAGGGCCAGGGAGGCCTCGTCAAACCCCCCGGGGCTCCGCCGTGGCGGCTGGCATGCGAACCGCCCCCTCCCTACCTCCCCACGGGCCGGCGCCCAGCACGTGGTGCTCCAACCCCGGGGGCGTGAGATTGCAGACGCTCCGTGCAGACGCTGGGGGACAGAGCGCAGCGTCCACGCCTGTGGCCGGAGGCCAGCTGCTCATTCGTAACTCTGTCAGAGAGGAAGCTGAACACGGAAGCAAATCATAAACCAGAAAGCTCGAACCAGGGAACCTCCGAGATCCCTGCTGTGAAAGTAGATGTCTCTCTGAAAAGGAAAACGAGACTGTGGAATCGGCTTTGTGCATCACGGCTGTGTCTCCCGCTGCAGTTCTGCCCTGTTTGCACTTCTCCGTGTGGGCACTGGCGCCCCCGAAACCTGCCGCCCACCAGCGGTTCCCTCCAGACTCCGCAGAGAGTTGCCTGGTGGCCCGGTTCTGGGGCCAGGGAGGGGCGCTCGCACCTAGCGCGGAGGTCCGGAGTGTCCCCCATCTGCCCCAGCCCTGTGACACACCTTCCTGTGGTGCTGTGTGCCTCGGGCCTGACGGGCCACAGACCCACCTGGCATGGAAAATCTCTGGTCCAGATGGCTCAGGAGGTCATTCGCTCTGCCCACGTCCTTCTGGGGGGCCGTCCCTGCAGCCCTGGGAGCCAGTGTCCTGCGGGGCAGGTGCTCTGCCGGCTGTCTGAGCGGGGAGTGGGACGCGAGGAGAGGATTTGGGGTGTGACTCTGCCGACTCTTTTCTCTCTGCTTTATTATTTATTGCGAGAGAGAGCGAGTAAGTGAGAGTCGGGGCGGGAGGACAGAGAGAATCTTTAAGTCTTTAAAAGGATTTTATTTATTTGACAGAGAGAGACGCAGGCAGATGGAGAGGGAGAAGCAGGATTGTGAGTGCAGAGCCTGACGTGGGGCTCGATCCCATGATCCTGAGATCATAACCTGAGCTGAGACCCCGAGGTGACACCTGAGCCACTGGGTGCCACGTTTGCTTTGAACCTGTCTCTGGTGAGGGCTGCGCAGGGTGACTGCTCTCAGGGCCACCGAACCGCACAGCCAGAGTGGTTACAACAGTGAACTTCACGTTACCTGTATTTTACCACCATTAAAAAAGCGGGCGGCTCTAACAGTTGTATTTTTATTGGAAGTTAAAATGTTCTTTACGACTAAGCGCAGTAGTGCTGGGTGTTCTGGGCATAATGTTCTTGTGGCAGAATGGGTCGTCAGTACAGCTGCAGCCTTTCCTCCTTCCACGTGAGAAATCGGAGGCAAAGAGCAGGGTCTCCTCAGCGGTAGTGACGCCTCATGTCCTCACCGGCGTGCCGTTCGCGAGTGGGCGAACACGGCCCCGGAGGCCCGGGCCCGGTCGTCAGAGCCCGTGGAGTGCCGGCCTGCGTCCCCAGCTGGGGTTTCAGCGGTGTCCAGAGGGGCGCACGCGGCCCGGAACCCGGAGCAGCCTCCTACTGCGTGACCGCCGCTCCGACCGAGGGACGGGGCGTGCATGCCTTCCGTGGGGCGCCGCGTCCTCACTGCAAGAGATTGCTAAGAATGGAAATAAAACTCACCTCTGGGGCCCTTCACAAAAGCACGTGACATCGTGACTGGGAAAGAGCTCTGAGAAACGTCGACAGCGGAGGGCTGGTCCGTGAGGAGTGGACGCGAGGAGTGGACGCGAGAGTGGTCCCGGCAGGACACGGAGCCGTGACGGGTGAGGAGTTGCCACGGACCCTCCTGTCGCCCGCATAGCCGTGATGATCCACAAGGAGAGGAGGGAGTCCTGCCGCTCTGGCGCGTGGACCCAAGGATCCCCTCCACGTGCCTGCGCTCTCAACCTCACTGTGCGGGGGCCTCAGGCCTGGCGGCTGCGGGCCCCACCACCAGGCGCCGGGGCAGGTAGGAGGACGCCGTCACCGCCCTGCGCTTGTGGGGTGGGGACCGCCTGCGTTCGGGCCGCGGCAAGTAGCTTTCTGTGGCTGTTTGTGGGTGAGTGGGCAAGCAGGTCCTGGACATTGTGTATGCCCCGCTCAACGGGCATTTTCTGGGGTTTAATTCTCATTCTGTTAGTGACCCGTGACCCTGCCGCCTCGTCCCACAGCAAACTGACATGCAGGAGGTGTGAAGCCTGTCAGCCGCTGTACGATTTTGTCCGCTTGCCCTCTGCTGGCACCGTGCCGTCCCCGGTCCCGGGAGGGCCGCCCTCCGCTCCGTGCCACGGAAGCCCTTCCCCAGGGAGCTCGTGGCGGAGCACCGGAGGACTGGATCGCCGCCTGAGTGTGGCGTGGGCCTCGAGTGTGGCGGGGGAGGCGGTCGGGTTGTCTGAGGTCCCAGGTTTGGGTGAGTTCTGCTGCTGTTCACCAGGCTGCCCGTCAGTCCACGGTAACTCGCGGCTGCCGTTCCTCCCGCAGCGTGGCGTGCGCCAGGCTTTGGGGCTGGGGCCTGCCGACCAAAGTCTCAGCGGAAGAGACCGCAAGTAGGACTAGCCCTCCTGCTTCAAGGACAGGTGAAGTTCTGTGTCAGAACAAAACGAGAAGAGTCCCCCCCACCGCCAGTTACAGAATTAATAAGTATCTCGTTATGACGCTTTGAGATGTTGGGTGACGCCCGCGGAACCTGGAAGCAGCTGGTCGGCCGCCGGGCCCTGACCCTCGGTGTGTTCCCAGCGTCCCCGCCACGTATGCTGTCTGCTCGCTGCTGCGGCTGGTGGGGTCACTCTCTCTACTCTGAGCCTTGCCCTTGTCAGGGAACACGCCAAAACAAGGGACGCCGGATGAAGACTGGATTGTAAGATAAACACTCAGACACCGTGCGGGGCCCGAAGGGAAGGACGTACGAACGCTGGGATGGTCCCGCACCGGTGCAAATCCGGGGCGAGAACTTACTTCCCAGAGACCCGCCTGGGTGGTGCTGGTGGAGGGACCTCAGTAACGAGCGCTAGGCCATGAACTGCAGGAGGGCGCTCCCCGGTGGCCTCTCCGGGGGCTGCCCCGTCGGTCCTTGCTTCGGGGCCATGTTTCCAGCGGATGCTGTAGCTGTCTGTGGCCACTAAGCCTCTCTCTCCCTTCCTGTTCTGCCCTGCAGGTCGCTGCCATCAACCCCAACCACCCGCTCGCACAGATGCCCTTGCCGCCGTCCATGAAGAACTGCATCCAGCTGGCGGCCTGTGAGGCCAACGAGCTCCTGCCTATGATCCCCGACCTCCCGGCCGACCTGTTCACGTCATGCCTCACCACCCCCATCAAAATCGCCCTGCGCTGGTAAGTGGCTCCTGCCATGACCTGGGCTTCCCCCAGGGACCCAAGGGACGCAGATCCCAGGGACCGACCCTACAGACGCAACTGGTGGGCATCAACTCCCTCCTGAGGCTCAGGCTTTACTCATAGAGAATGAAGGAAAGGTTCTGCCTCTTGGGCAAGTGGCGCGTGTGGCCTGTTGCTGTGGGGTGCCCGAGAGCACCCTCTCCGTACTCGTCTGCTGGGGGCGCGTCCCTAGCGGCAGCCTTGGGTGTTCTGGAACTCGGGCCGTCATGACACGGAGAGCCGTTTGACCCCGAGGTAGACTGGAAGCTGGATCCTGCCACTGATTGCTGGCCGTAGACCGAGTCACGACCCTTGCCTCCCACGCCCTTTGTCGCGGTCTGGCGCTCTGGAGACCGTGACCGAGGTTCTGCACACAGGGTGTGCAGACAGGAGATGGGGTGCTGGGGTGCAGCCCACAGGAGAGCCCGCGTTAAAGACCCCGCGTCGCTGACGGGCACCACCATGGACGTGCGTGCTCAGGCCTCCACGTCAGGGCTGTGTCGCCGACCCCCATTGCTCCTTCATTCCTTCCTTTCCGTTTTCTGTCTCGCTGAGAAGCTCCCACGTAGTAGTTGTGCGGCCAGGAGAGAGCCCGTGTCCAGGGGGCGCGGGGAAAGCACACAGCTGCGCGCTGTTCCCGGTGCTCTGGGGGGCGTTTTCCGGGGCTTTCTACCAGGAGACACACAGACCCCTGGTCCTTCCCATGATCCAGAGAAGCAGCGGAACAAGCGTGGGCCCTGGGGGCTGACAGCACAGTGACCGGCCGCTGGAGAGACCTATGAGGGCCTGGGCTGCTTTGCCCCTGAAGCAGTGTTTCCTGTAAGCCCAGCACCCTGGGGTGAGAGGTTACCGGTGTTGGGCTGGCTGGGCAGCACCCTCTGCTAGCCTCACCATTGCCCCCAATCGCAGGGCTGTGGGGGAGCCCAGGGAGAGCCTCCTGTAGGGCGACTTAGCCCTGAGCAGCGAATGGGGAGGGGGACCTGCCCAGAGGGGCAGGCAAGGGTGGCCCACTGTGCTCCTCAGCAGCTGGGCTTATCCCCCAGCTGACAGGCCAGCACCTGCCTAGGGACGCTCTCCACTGCACCCCGAGAAGCAGAAATCAATGGGGTGGGGCACAGCCAGCACAGAGAGAGGCTGCCGAATGTCGGCCGACAAGCGTGTGCACGTGGTGGGAGCTGAACGAAGACGCTAGAAGCCGGAGGTGGGACTCCGACGCAGGAATATAGAAGCGTGCCCAGCGGAGACACAGGAAGAAGGAACACAGTGGATGGGATCCGTGGCAGGGAGGGCGGCTGCAGCCCAGACCAGCTGGGAGGGGACACTGAGGGACATCAGGGCGGCAGCTGGGAGGGGCAGAGAACAGGCCAGAAGGGCAGGTGGCACAGAGAGAGATGGACGCTCCCATGGGCAGGGAGAGGTCGGCAGAGGTGCCGCTCCCAGGGGCCACATGGCCACGTTCCCAGGACGTGGGGAAGAAGCAGAACTCAGTCCGAGCAGCGCCCGCCCACCAGGGGCACACGGGCTCCCCCCGTCGTCTGCGTCCCCGCGGCTGCGGCTCCTTGCACATGGGTCTCCACTCGCGAGGGCTTGGTGAGGTTTTCTTTGTAACCGTCCTCCCTGTTTGGAGGCTGCCAAGAAAGCTCACGGGTCCGTGTGACAGGACTGCAGAAGGTCTCTGGTCCAGAGGACTCAGGAGTCCATTCGTTCCCCTCGTGATCCACGACATAACGGACAAAATCCCACGGTGTCTGTCAGACCTACGCTGAGCACCGTAGGAGGTGCAGAGAAATGTGGTGGTCTCATGCCTTTGGGGTCTAGCTGAGGGGACAAGCTGTGGCCTGAACGTGAACGATGTACGTGGAGCTTGACATGGGCAGAGCGCGTCTGGGCGTCACAAGCGGCTCGGGGTCAGACTGAACACACGCGTGCACTAGCGGCTCTTGTGTTCCCGGGGACACACACACCCTGAGGCCCCACGGGACATGTGGAGGAGACGCAGCCCTATGGGCTGGCTGTCACGGGGGGTGACGTGCATGTCTGCGAAGAGAGCGCGTGTGCCGGCCTCATTACATAGGAAGGTGTGGGGCAGGGTGTAGGTCAGGGTAGACTGCGTGAGATGTGGGTGCTTTGAACGCTGAGCGATGGCCTTGGACTTGGAGGACTGGCTGGGAGAGCCTGGATGGTGTTTCCGTGGGAACGTGACTTAGTAGGAATAGAGCTGCAGGGAGATGATCTGTGGGATGATGTTCCCGATCTGGTCCCAGTCTGGTCCCGATGGGGTCGGAGGCGGCAGCAGGAAGGTGGGAATCTGTGGGCCGGAGACCCCACATGTGCGCCTTGAAATCTGGAGAGCAGGCCTCGTTTCCGCTCATTTTCCTGCCCGTCTCTCCAGGGTTTTCTGCCCTTCCTGCCTCTGTGCACCCCGACTCTGGAACGATGTGGCGAGCCAGGTGTGCTCAGGGCCTCCGACCCACCCCTGCCCGCCCGGCCCCCCTCTCCCCCGGCCAGGCTGGGGCTGATTTGATGCGACTCGCACGGGGCATGTTTGCAGGTTTTCAGGCAGGTGATGGAGATGCAGGAAGGGGGCGGGGAGAAGGCACAAGGAGCCTAGAAGGGAATCTCTGGCCCCCCCGCCCTCCGTCCTCACCCCCAGCACATGCGCCCCAGCACGGTGAGTGGACATTCTCACCCACGTCTCTAGTGTGCGCTTCTCCGTCTTGGTCAGGAGGGACTTGGCGTTCACTAGGGAAGCTGCTGGCATGCAGACACCAGTCGATCCGCACAAATTCTAGAGTGGGTCCCTGCTCCTGACCTGTGCAAGGGCTCTCATGCTGCCGTAGCCTGCCGTGTCGTGTCAGGAGCCACCTGAGGTCCTTTCGGAGCTGGGAAATGATTAAAACTTACAGAAGCGAGTGTTTGGCAGGAAGCACTGTGAAGGATAAGTCAAACTCACAAGGTCACCCTCAGATGGACTTTGGGGTCCATGGGCCGCAGCTGCAGGGCACAGCCGTCAGATGACCACTGTCTGGAACAGCGAGGCTGTCCTGGGCGGGCAGACCTCTTACAGTAAACCACCCTGTGCCACACCGAGGAGCTGAGGTTAGATTGAACAGAACTGTCCTTCTGGTGGTGATAAACCGTCACCGTTGGGAGCCTCGTTGAGTAAAATGTGCTCTTGTCTCTAACGGCCGAGTTAAAAACCACCAGCTTTTCTTGAAGAGAGAAAGGAAAATAATTTGGTAGGTAGTACTCATTTATATGATTACGGTTAAAGTTTTGTTTTTTCATGTAAAAAGCAAATGTAAAGTGGAATATCCCTTTGTAGGAATCAACTAAAAAGCAAAAAAAAAAAAATGAGAAGATTATTCGAGATTTTACCATCGTGAGCACAATTAGTGTTAACTTTTGGGTCTGTTTCCTGCCAGTCTTATTCTCCGTGCACGTACGTTTCTGCATTGGTGTAATGAGACTACAGCCGCGGCTTCTTTTACTTAATCTTTGGTGTTATAATAAATTTATCCTAGACCATTAGCCAATTCTTAGTAAACATCATTTGTAATGATTGCATAAGATTTCACTGTGTAATGTTTTGTGTCTTATTTAACCAAAACCTAGGACTTTAGGATTTAGGATTCTGGTAAATATAAAAAGGAGAGCTCAGAGAACCTCTAGGGCAGGGATCCAACAACTTCTTACGTAAAGGGCCAGGAAGCGATTCGTGTGGGCTCCGTGGGCCCGAGGGCCCCAGCTGGGCTGGTGCAGCACAGAAGAGCCACGGTGTGCAAGGATGGGTGCGGCCGTGTTGCAGTAAATCTTTATTTGTGGAAACAGGTAGCAGGTCCTACCTTGCCAACTTGTACCTTAGAGAACAGAACCAGGATCTTACCGCAGACGACTGCTCTCCTCATCTACGGGTCAGGAATTAACCTAAAAACAGGCCTCCTCCTTTCTCCCTTCTTCCTTCCTCCTTCCTCCCTCCTTCCTCCCTCCTTCCTTCTCCTGATGTAAAGCAGACGAGGGCTTTTGACATAACCAGGCACGGTTATGCAGACCACTGTGTGCTGTATACACACACCATAGTCTTGCTTTCCACGTACGAGGTGTGTGAGTTCGTGGTTGGTGGTCTGCGTATTTATGAACCTTTTTTGATGGTGAAATAGTTGTTGGAAAATGTTGTTTTCTGATTTTCTCTTCATGTTTTGTTTCAGTCTTTCTTGTTTTCAGAAACTGATCATTTCAATAATTCTGAAATGAGCAAGTACATTGTTCCCTAAAGAATCGATGACGTTGCTCACCATGTATATCAGTGTAGTAAAAGGGTCTAAAATATATGTTTTTTTTTGGCTTTTTCTACTTCTTGGATTGGTGGTAGAATGCCATTTTAAATTTATCCTGGGTATATTTGTGTACTACTGAAAATTATAACTCAGTGCTATTTAATTTGCTGCGGGACTTGCTATAAAAAAGATTGATGCCTTTTGTACTGTGCGGCATGGAATCGTAATGTTTATTAAAGAAAATGATAGACATTATTTTGGATTGAATAGAGGTCAAGAAAACTTGTTTCCTTCCTTTCAATTAAATTGAGGAATTTCAAGGAGTTTAAATGTTAATGACGCAGAATTAATGTAGATCTGTCCACATGGGAAATCTTGCCCTCATGTTTACCCAGTGAGAGAGGCGAAGGAGAGGGGCAGTCCCCAGGTGGCAGGCATAACCCGCACCAGTATCAGGTGCCCGCCCAGGTTTGAGTCCCGGCTCTACCAGTTACTAGCCGAGCGGCCTCCTGCCCTCGTCCTGACTGTAGGACCAGAGGCTCCCCGTCCCCCAGGCGCACGGTATGGGCTCGCCGAGTTGATCCATGTGGTGGCACCGAGGACGCTCGGTACATGCTGGCCACCCCCGTTACGGACACGTGAACATTTCAGCCAAACAGAAGAACGAGTCAGGCTGGTCAT